AAGTTTTTGGAACAATTTGACAAGCAGGCATTACCTCCATGAGAGCAGGATGAGAACAACTGCTGAAAAAAATACTTGATGTGATTCAGTGCAACTAAAGCAAAGAACATTTGTCTCCAGTGCAATCCTGCAGGAAAGAGGAGTTGCCCTTGCCAAGTAGCTGGGCCACAAGGAATTCACCTGCAGTGATAGATGGCTGGACTGCTTCAAGACCAGGCACAGCATAGTATATTTTTGTGCAGTAAGTGGTGAGTATGCAGCAGTAATGGCAGATGATTTGCTGTAAATGGTTCTGCCCACATCCTGAAGAGCTGTATGCCTTGCCTTTTTTTAATGTGTTGCATCACTTTTTTTTTACAGAAGGTGAAACATAATGGTGAAAATCTTTTTTCTGTGGTCTGAAAAGCTGCTGTTGCTTGTGATTGGAAAGTCTAAGCTAAGTTGCTTTGCTAATTCAGATGCTACCCACAGTTTTTGAGACTAATAAAACCACCTGAATGATCTCCAACATGTTTGTTTTTTGTTGAAGTGTGGATCAGGAATGTCAACAAAGCACGTCAAGGGAAGAAAGAGTAATTTTTATCATCTTACAAATGACTGTTACTGTTATCTTGGCATTGCTACCTCGAGTGTCAAGTTGATATTCCTGCTGCCAAACACCCACCACAAAGCTCCAGCCAGTGAGTGTGTGAAAATGACTACTGACTGTAGCTGATCTCTGGTTATTGAGGACATCAATTTTTCTTCTAAGGAAGCAGAAATATAATACGACTCTACAGGCCACATAATAATGTGGAAAAGGCTGAATGCCATGCTGGATTCAAATGGTTTTTGACTGCAAGATGCCAAGAATGAGGCCAACCAACCTGGTAACTAGGCACATGTATTGTTCATCTGTGGTAGGCCAGCGAGGAAATTTCCAGCAGAGGCAACCATGGAAACTTCCATCAAGATGAACAATACTATAAATTCTGCAATGGCAATGGCAGATGCAGTATGTCCTCGACCAAGGAGTCCAATGAATGAATGCTAGCCTGCCTGTTTCCTTGCTGAAGTCATGAAGGTCACTGAGGATTTCGCACTACGACGCAAACATATTTGACAACATGACAGACCTGTGTATTGTACTTGCCTGAAGACACAGCAATCTTTTTGTTTTTATGCCCAATATGCTGAATTTTTCTATACTTACAACATCTTTCAATAACTTTTTGTTTATAAATGGCCTAACCTTACGCAGGTATGGTTTCTCTCTTCGATAGAGCATGTTGCAGGCAAATTGGATTACATAGTCCCTATCTGTAAGCACCACTTAACACCAAACTTACAGGCAGATCCCCTGAGATTCAACTCATTGCAAATTCACTATTCGTGACTGAGTGACCATGTGGCAGGAATCGGCAACTTAGTGATGTGGAAATTGAGCCAGTCTGTATGCTAGTATTACTGTACACAGACTTTCTAGATTTTTGTAGGTTTTATTTGATTTTGATTTTGTTACATGCATTTTGCAGTAACAATACAATAAAATACAGTAGTAAGCTTTCATTTCTTGCTATGAAATGACACCATTTTGAATAATTTAAGAATTGGCAGGAGGGGTTAAAGAGAGTCCATCAGCCATGAACCAGCTCATCACCGTAAATGATGTCTGTGCTGCCATTCCTCCATTACTGCTTCACTACCATCTACTCCAGACCCAACTAAGATCGAAGTCACTGATCCTCGGGTGCCATCTTTGCCACTGGTCCGATACACCTCGGCTACCAACTTGTCGCTGCCTGTGCCAGAGCACCCAATGTTGGAGTCGCATCTCTCGCCACTGGGCCCAGTCCATTGATATTGCTGTGATTGTCCTTCAGCCACTGCCTCGCCACCAGCACTGGACCTAACTAACAACAAAGTCACCAATCCTTGGCACCATCTTTTGCAGCTGGCCGACCTTGCAGACGTCCCCTCTGTAGCAGCCGCTGATTCCAGGTCTTGTTTGATCTGGAAAATGGTCTATGGTAGGGGCTCCCCCCAAGATCCATACACTGGGCTCTTGCTATTACCAATTGCTGTCCAAGCTCAGGACAAAGTAAACTTTTGAAAAATGGAAAAGAAAAAGAAGTGGCTGAAGCTGACCAACTAAGGCATGGGAGCTCTACTCCAACATTTTGGAACTTTTTCAGAGAGGGTTCTTGAATCTTTTGATGTTTTAATTCGTAATGTACGAAGTTCAGATTTTGAGTCTACTGGGCAGTTCTGAAGAAGGATTGCTGGACTTAATGTTAACTTCACTTTCTTACACAATGCTGCCAGACCTGCTGAGTTTTTGTAGCAATTTATTTCAGACCTTCAGCATCCACATATCTTTATTTTAGAACTGATTTAATATCTGCTTCAATGAGATTAAATTAATGTGTTTTGAAGTTAAGTTTTTTTTTTCAAGCTGTGTTCTTGTACTAAGTCAAATTTTCTTACGTTTTCTGTTTTTCTTAAGTTCCTTGCGCTGGTGTGCTAATATCTTCTACGTTTTCTTTGTCTTCTGGATGTTAGAATAGCACTTTCCAGATGTTTCCTTTTATAGTTGTCACTCAGTAGTACACTATTAAAACCGTTGCAGTATCTTCAAAATTAGATGCGAACTTCAGTACACATTTGTCCATAGTTAAATGTCTGGTGGTTCACCATTAAAATGCTTCAGACTCTAATGTTCCTGATGAATATTCTATTGCTTTTGGTTCTGTTTGTTTTTCTGGTGGATGGGCATTGGAATTATTTCCCTATTGAACTTGGAAGACATTTTTTAAAAAGGTTTGTTTAAAAGTACTTGGGTTGTTGAAGTGTTCACTTTTGTTGAGACCGTTGACATGGGATTCTATTTTAAATGAGTTGCTGCATAATGGTTGTGTTGAACGAATACCCTCATGATATTCAATGTGGGATAATACATGGTCTTAAAGTGGGTGAAAACGTGTTGCGGATTGCTGATGGCTTTAAAATTTTAGGAGAAAAAGGGAATCTGTAAAATGAAATGGATATAAAGTCATCAACTGAATTGAGGACCACTGCCACGACCACACAGTGAAGTTTAAATTATGCATTTTTGTACAACAGTGCCACACTGTGAACTCTTAATTGTCAGATTTCCCTTACAGTTGTGTATAATTTTAAATTTTTTTATCTGGGTATGGAGGTACATGTTTTTAATAATTTGTAATGTTTAAAAGTCACTATGCATCTTAAACTTGTGTATTTGTATAGTTTGTGATGGTCTATAATGCATTAGAGTTTAATTTTTTTTGGATAAAGATGCCCAAGACATTTGTCCCTTCAAACTTATTGTTTGTATTTTCACTTTCAGAGGGCCTTGAGCCCCAGGATCTCCTCTTTACTGACATCCATCCAAAAGGAAGCTTTTTTCCCATTTTAGCTTCATAAGGATGTGCATCTCTAAATTCCCATTCATTTCCTGTTGTGCAGAATGCCAGATCCTTTTAGGACAGTTATCCACTATGGATATTTATCAAGAAGTATTTTTGAAGGTCTGGTAAACTGGGAATGGTGAAACCTGTTTATTAACATCAATACAGGAAAATCTATACAAATGGATGCCCCCAAAAAACCAACACACTTATTAGCAGTTTCAAGTAATGATATTCAAATGGATAGCTATTTGCAAATTATGAACTACAAACAGCCTTCTATTGATAGTGCATCCGAGATTTGCAATTTTTGAGTTGCTAAGTCTGTTTTGAAGTTTGTTTCACTTTCCTAACATGGTAGTCCTTCAGAGAAAGCAATGGCCTTGGGTATTATCGCTAGACTATTAATCCAGGAACCCAGATTCAAATGCGATCTTGACAGATGGTAGAATTTGAATTCAGTTTTAAAAAATTTTCTGGGATTAAGAGTCTAATGACGATGAATCCATTGTCGATTGTTGGAAAACCCATCTGGTTCACTCATGTCCTCTTGGGGAAGGAAACCGCCATCCTAACCTGGTCTGGCCTGCATGTGACTCCAGATCCACACCAATATAGTTGACTCTTAACTGCCTCTGGGCAATAAAGAAGGCTTAACGTGTACTCTGCAATGGTTGCTCCCACTGATTCTGTCATGGTTGGCAAATGAGCGAGGAATCCAGGAGATTAATAAAATTATGCACCTATGATGTAATTACAAAAATCGGCTGGGGTCCCTGTAACAACTCAAATTCTCATTGAGGAATCAATGTACCTGTCTCTACCTTTCTTAACTGTTTCAGTTTGTCACTCCTACCAATATTGGGGACAGGATGATTTTTGTTTTAGGGGAAATGGGTCATGGGGTGAGGTCATGTGATCAGCTGTGCCGGAATCATCACTTCAACTAAATTTGGAAATTACAAACCTCTTAATCCAGCTGTGTGTCCCAAACTGGCAACAAAATCCACTATCACACTGACCATAATTTTGAAACATTAACAACCATAGCAAATAGAAGGACTAAGTCAGGGCAGGGATCAGTAGGTATTAACCATTCCTATGTCACTGGGATCTCCGAGGTCCAATAGCAGCCACCTCAAATATGCAGATGGCCAGCGCAGCAGACTTATAGGATCATGATACTCTCAATGCTTTCCATGTTGAGGATCCTGGTAATACAATGGACTAAGAAATCTAAACACGAAATTGAAGTTTGTAATCTCATTTCCACTGGCAGTGCTTGAATATTAGGCCTTCTTTTAAATGAGGATGCTAAAAGAAGACATGCTGCAAGAGATACAACTAATTTTCTCATCTGGTTTATAGGCTATAATGACCATTTTGAAAATTAGAGCCACGTGATGCAAGTTCCTTGTGTTTTCTAATTTTGCAAGTTTCAGTGAACTTGCATAACATTCATTCATTTCCATGCAGAACTTTATTTAAAATAATTTGTAGCATTACTTTGTGAAATTTGACTTTGTTATGGCTTTTGGTTTTTCTCATTTGGTAATACCGTCTACCTTTTTTTTTAAATGAAAATTGTAGAGCAGATATTTCAGAACATCAAGCAAGAATATAGCCGCTTCCAGTGGAGGAGACAGTTAGAAGGAAGTTTTAATCCAAGTGAGGCAAACAGTTCTGTTGAAGGATCATCTAATACTTTGTTACTAAATGCACCAAGCTCACCAGGTAAGCAAAGATATCCAAAGTATGTTTCAGAAATTCGCATTAATACTTTTTTGATAGTCTTAATTGTGAACCCCCTACAGTAGGGAAGCAGACCACTTGGCCCATTGAACCCACGCAGACCCTCAAAAGAGCATCCCAGGCAGGACCCCCAACCCCAGCCTATCCCTGTAACCCTGCATTTATCATGGTTAATCCACCTGGTCTGCATATCTTTGGACTGTGGGAGGAAATCAAAGCATCCAGAGGAAACCCACACAGACATGGGAAGAATGTGCAGACTCCATACAGACAGTTGCCTGAGGGTGGGATCAAACCCAAGGCCCTGGCACTGAGAGGCAGCAGTGCTAACCACTGAGCCACTGCCCGTAAGTTCAACTAAGTTCTTCCTTGTAAGTGTGCGCGATAGGTTGAGCATTTACTCTCGACAAGGTGGTTGAGAGGAACAAGGGTTCTAAATTGCAGTACTGCAACTAAAGTTCCAGAGGAAAGATGACAATACTATTCACCACCTCCACTGTCTCTTAGTTTTTGGATTTCTCCTTTGCCAATTTTGGAAGTTGAGGATAATGGGTCAAATGTGGAAGAGTACTTGACCTGTTTCCTTTGATATATTTGATTCTTCTGTAGACATTGACAGTACAAAAGGAAGCCATCTGACCCACTGGGCAGAATCTGTCATTGAGTTAGGTGAGATGCATGGTAAAAAGAATGAAAAGTCTGCAAGACTCATCTCCATGATCATCTGTCTCATTCTTGTATTTTGCCAAGTAGCGTAGTAAGATTCTTGCTGGGGAGTGCTATCACAGCCGCAATTCGCCTCATTAGTATTCAGCCTCCTGTCTTAACCTACCTCACCAAACAAGCTAGATGTTGGGGAAAATTCAACAAGGAAACTAGTGTGTACTTAGTGGATTCAGCTTGCTGCTTGCTGCTCGCTGCAAATGATCTTCATGTTGCTTACAACCAAACAACAGTGGACATCAGGCATGTGCACACCTTCTCTTTGGACATTGGCATTGGGCATCGGGCATCTGCTAATCTGTCACTACTATTCTTGGACTTCTGCTATTTGCTGGTAGGATATTCTAGCAGCCTATACCTGCATTGCAGGGTACACCAGCAGTAGCATTCAAAGATTTGCGCACAGGGACAGGCACTCGGATTGAATTGCTTGCTCTCTTGGCTCATTTGGCACTTAGCTGCATGTTCACAGCATTCTGCCCTGTTGTGCCAATTAGTACAATTACAAAAACAAGCACGTTGTTGTTGTTGTTTTTTTTTTTTTTTGCTAAGCAGTCATCAGTTTAGGAAGCACACGTCTTGCAGTTTACTACATCAGTCTCTTTCCTGCACCATGTGCAGCAAGCGGGCAGCCATGACTCTAAGTTTTAGGGCTGTAGTCCTCGCTGAAATCTATGAAAGAACCCATCTGGCATGGTAGGTTGAGGGTAGCCTCCCATACCACTCACAGGGAATTGGTCATGGTTAGGCATCTAGTTGAGATGTTCTTGGTTGGGTTGGGGATGTGATCTATGCCTCTAATCCAAGGAGTGGGTCACAGTGGGTCAGTCTGTTTGCTGTGTAGCAGCAAGTGTGGTTGGGATTGAAGCTGCGCAAGTGCAGCTATTGATGTGGATTGACCCTCCTCTAATCATTGAGGCTGGGGACTGCAGACTCTGGACAAGTTATGAAAGGGGGCAGCAAATTTAGCCAGGCAGGATATGGTAAATTATGACGATGAGGAGTACCTTGACTTAGAGGCAATGAATGATCACACCAGACATTAGTCACTTCATGTGCCTCCTTTCCCAATCAACCCTGAGGATATCTCCAAGAGGACTACAGCTTAGAAGGAGGCCCTTTTGCCCTTCAAGACTGTGCTGGTCATAAACAACCTAACTGTTCTCATTTTTCTTAGCCCTTAGCTTTGAATGCTGTGGCATCGCAAGTGTACATCTAAGCTCTACTTAAATGTTACGAGGGCTTCTATTTCTAGCACCCTTCTAGGCAGTGCATTCCAGATTTCCCACCACCCTCTGGCTAAACTGGTTTTTCTCACATCAGGTCTCTTACCTTTTTAAATCTATGTCCCCTGTTCATTTGATCCCCTAGGTGAAAAGTTTCTTCCTGTCTTTATTCCTCATAATTTATACATCTCAATCATGTATCCCTTCATTCTCTACTCCGAAGAAAACAACCTCAGTCTGTCCTATCTCTCTCCATAACTAAAACTCTCTAATCACACAACATCCTGGTAAATCTCCTCTGCACAGTGTCTAGGGTGGTTGCATCCCTCCTATAATGTGAATTCCAGAACTGCACAATATTCTAGTTGTGGCCTAACCAGTGTTTTATACAGTACCAACATAATCTCCCTGCTCTTCAACTCTCTCTGCCTCAGCTGATTAAAGGCAAGTATCCCAGATGCCACCTTAATCACTTTACCTACCTGTCCTGACCCCTGATCCTTACTGTTTGCCAGGGGTCCTACTGTTAGTCATTATATTCGCTTGCCTAGTTTGTCCTGCCCAAGTGCATCACTTCACAAGTTACTTGTTTTAAATTCCATTGGTCACTGATCAGCCTGTCTGTTACCCTCCTGTAATCTAAGGCAATCCTCACTATTTACCACCCCACCAGTTTTCTTATCCACGAACTTTCTGACCAACCATCATATTCCACCTCAAACCATTTAGATATGCCACAAACAGCAAGGACCCCAACACTGATCTTTGCAGAACCTCTCTGGATAGAGACTTCCAGTCACACACACACGCCTAGCCGTCACCCTCCGCTTCCTGCCACTCAGCCAATTCTGTATCCATGTCAATAGGTTGAATGGTGAGTTGGAGTTGAAAGTGTGAACCCTCTGGGGTTGACAGGATGGACTATGAAGAAGGGGGTGACTTAAGGAATGGGGGCTGCAGCAAACCGATTTGGATCGTGCAGTGCAAAGCACGCAGGCTGTCTATTCTTTGGCCATCCTACAGCGATGAGCCTCTTTGTGCTAGGGAGGTGCAACATACAATCTTGGCTGGGCGACTCTTTGACAGCTGCACCTTTGCATATAGAGGCAACGAAATATTAGTGATTTTGAACAAGGATTGGCAAAGGTGTTGCTAACATACATGACCACATGAATGCATTGTTATTTCCACTGCTTCCATATTGTGTGGAGTAGGGTTTCAGTACTGATCTTCCTCATGGAGCCTCGTCTGCAGCATGAAATGTTGTTAGGTTATGTGAAGAAGCATTTAGCATCTTTGCAGAGACTGTCAAAATGTCTGAAAGTTAACATGTGGAATGTTTTTATACAGAAACTCGGTGACATAAAAGTCTTTTTCAGGTGCCATTAATGTGCCCTCAGCGCATTATCTTTCTCTCCTTCTCCTGTGAGTTGGCAAGTCCCTGGGCACTGATGGATTTGATCCTAGGATCTTGAAAAAATTAACTCATGAGATACTTGATGCGTTGGTCTAACTTCCCCAAGACTCATTAGATTTGGGGAAGATTCCTTTTAGATTAGAAAATAACTAATGCAGTTCCCTTATTTAAAAAAGGAGTGAAACAGTAAACTACAGGCCAGTTAGCCTAACATTTGTCCAAGGGAAGATGCTGGCATCTATTACTGAAGATGTAATAACAAGACAAATGAACCAAAGAACTGTGGTGGTTGGAAATCAAACAAAAGCAGATGTTGCTGGAAAAACTCAGCAAGCCTGGCAGCATCTGTGGAGAGAAAGCAGAATTAATGTTTTGGTTCCGGTGACCCTTCTTCAGAACAGGGCCCTGTGATAATTTTAAGGTAATTGGGCAAAACAAATGTGATTTTTGCCTGCAAATGTGCTTTGCTTTTATTTTTAGAAATGAAAACACTGCAGGAAATGAGTTTATTTTTTCAATTTGATCACATTTTACAATGCTTCCCTTTTATACATAAAAGGCACTGAAAAATTTTTGATTTTTGGAGTCTGGAGAAACTCTGCAGACCACCATGTCATCAGTGCAGTCAGGCATATTTTGACTGGCGGACATGATGGGCCAAAGGGCTTTTTTCCTTATTGTGAAACTCTCAATTCTGTAAATAATTGTGGAAAGGGAAGACGCTTCTACAACAAGAAAGCAAGATTTGACTGCAAATGGCAATGCAAAAAGAATCATTGGTGAAAGTAAGAGACGAGGTCTGTCTCAAGACACGTTCATATAGATCCTTTACCCATATCAGATCCAGAATACATTGTTGGCTGTAGAAGAGATATGTGAATAAGCGGTGCAACAGTAGGGAGTGTAAAATGAGCCATTTTCAACTTGTTGAGTAGGTGAAATGAGACACCTGACACACTGAACGTTCTGTAGGAATAGTAACAAAATCAAAACACAATTTGGTTCAAGAGGAAAGAACTGTTTATGTGGTCTATATGAAATATTTAATGTTATAACCAATATTGAAAACAGACCATGTCACTGATGTACAGTTTGAGACTACAATATTTGATTTTTTTTTTCAGGTGAGTTCTTGAATTTTTAAAACATACCTTTCCACTTCTGGGTCTCTGTGGAATCAGCGCTAATGAGAGACTTTTTATCTGAAAAGTTTCATTTAAAAAGAATTGAAGCCATGTCTTACCTTAGCTTGAAAAAGCTGTTAGCTCCTCTGGGTCTCCTAAGGCGATGTTTACTGTCCGATACAACAGCTTCCCTATAGAGATGAATTTATAGTGCAAAAAATAACATATGGCAAAAGAGTTTAATTTTAGAAAATGGCAAGATAACTCCAGCTCTCAAGGCAGATCTTACAAAGTAAAATTGGTTGGTGTCTTTTTTTTTTGTGCAGTTGTTAGTGAAGTATTCAGCAATGTCCACTTGTTTTATAACTTCAGCATTATCAAAAACTATTGTATTTGAACTGGTTTCATGTCTGTAATTGACTTTGAAGTCTGTCCTGTGTCCACAAAAATGCATGCACGCCTTAACGAAGGAAAGTTACATTTCTATGATGGTAAGTGACAAAATCCCTTTTACTGAAGCAGTGTTCATGAAATAGTATGAATGATCTTAGGAGTAATTGTGCCAGGTTGAAGCCTGAGATCACAAAAAAGAAGATCTGTCTTGAGTTGACAGTTGGTACCTACCTTTGACTTTGAATCACCAAGCTCCTTTTGAGTGCGCGTTCTTTGTAAATGCTGACAAACGTGAAATTAGTTGAATGCCGTGGGCCCTGCTAATGAGAGGAAGGGACCAAAGAGAATTTTGGTCCATTGTGCAGAAGGTGGCACGAGAATGGGCTGTGAACTGCATGTTCCAGTAGCAACTTTGACTTTGTCATTTCTATTGCTTCTGTAATGTTGGATTAAATTTGCCAACTTTGCAATATTGAGCGATTTCAATTTTTTTTTAAACACACAAAACTGATTTGATTAACAGGAATAAAGACCATGAAACTACTAACCAAAAAAAAACCTGGAATCTCCAAGCTTTGAAAAAGAAAGGAAGAAGCAATTCCAATTCCATCCTTATTATGCTTTTTTTTTCAATATTTCCCTTTATTCTCCTCTACAGTTTAACAATGTCTTTGAAGTAAGTGGTATATTTACAAAAAAGCCTATGTAGTTATCTGGAAACTTGCTTATTTTAGGTGATTCTGACATAATTACCCAAAGGTTAAGGATTGTGCAGTTATTTTAAACTCTGATCACTTCTGGCAGCCATAGTTTGGCTGGTGAATCTAAGATCTATTTTAACAAAACCATTCAACATTGAATGTCTACTGTAATCACATCAGATTTGTAGGCCAGTGATTGAAACTTTTTTCTGTTGGAACTGCATTTGTCTCTGGAACTGAAATTCTTTTTGTTTTAATATAGGGACGTTATCTAAGAAAGACCAACCTTTGTTCACATTACGACAGGTTGGAATAATTTGTGAGCGCCTGCTTAAAGATCATGAAAGCAAGATCCGGGAGGAATACGAACAAGTTCTAAACACAAAACTTGCAGGTAGGAGAACTTGAAAAATTGGTCAATTCAGTGGAGAACTGGGAAGCATTGAGCACTGTAGTGTGAAAGTAATAGAAAACATATCAGTGAATAAAGGTTCAGATTGTGAACTTCAGCAACCATCTTTAATAGTACAGTAAGTCCTCATTTAAGATGGCCCCCATTTAATGTTTTTGCTTTAAAGTGATAAGGTTAATGGGGCTTGTAATCTAAGTTGCAAGGTTCATTTTAACAACATCTACCTGATCCAATTTGGCACCATTCTGGAGTGGTTTTCCTGGTACATTAATTTCAGGGGTCTCCCTTTCCCTTCTGACATGTGGCATCTCTGGGTGTCTGAACTTGGTGGATTCTGAGGCCTGCGTCAGGGAGCTGAATGTCATAAGAATTCAGAATGCCTGTTCGAGCCATGATTGATCCAAACCACTCGTGGTCACTATCTGATGGCAACTCTTTGAGAGACCATGATGCTGCTGTTTCTTGGTGGCTGCCCCCTCCTTCCAGGATCTGCTCTGACACAGTAGACTTGGAAAATCTACTGAACTGAGCCATGAATGTTGCCCTGCTGGCCAAGAGGAGGAGGAGGAGGAGGAGGAGGAGGAGGAAGGCCAGGGTCCCATAGCCAACCAAGCGGAGCAGGTCCACAATGTGAATGAATCCTGGAAGCATTGGTGACTCTGTCAGGAATGAGCACTGGCTCAAATCATTCTAGGTCTTGATGAAGCACTGCCTGCTGTAGACTGTGGCTCCACATTTTGGAGTTCAGGGAGGGGAAGAGGTCATAAGTTAACAGGACAGTGAAGATCAATTGGTAGTTTAAGTAGAAATTACATTCTTGCATCTTTTAAATTTGTACATGGTTTAGCTTACCAATGTAAAGTATTTCAACATTCAGGATATAGTGTTTGTGATTTTTCTGATAAAGGTTTGGTTGTTTCAGTTTAAAGTTGAGAGTTTCAGGAATGCACCCAAAACATGTTGAGGACTTGCTATAGCCTATATACACATGGTTTAGCTATTCTATAGATGTCTTTGCTAAAGTAATATCTGGAAAGACAAGATAGGAATTGCAGTTGGATTGAGACCGTCTGTGCCATTGTGGTTTTTCTCTCACCCCACCCTCCAATTGGGTGGCACGGTGGCTCAGTGGTTAGCACCGTTGCCTCACGTCTTTTTTTTTTAAGATGGAAGTGGTTGTGTCTTAGAAGGTGCTATGTAAGGATCTTTTGGTGAATTCAGCCCATTATTATCTGCTGCAGCTCTCTGAGCATTTGACTTGGTGCCAGTCTTTTGCTTTTCTTTCCCTTGTAGTCCTGTACACTTTTTTTTTCGTTAAATTGTGCAATCCCCTCTCGAATGTCTCCCCTTTAAAACTTGCCTTCAGCAAATCTCCAGGCAGTTTTTTTTTGTCTTCCACTTTCACTTGCTGCTTTTGCAAAAACACTTCAAGTTTGTGCCCTCTGGTTTTTGATCCTCTTAGCAGTGGGAACAGTTTCTTCTACCTTGTCCAAGCATCCTCATAATTTTGAAATTCTCGATCAGACTACCTGAATATATACAGCCAAGTCCCTCTGTTCTTGCACACACTTCAACGTAATACCCTTTCAGTTCATGTTCTCTATCCGTTGTTTGTGTTAAAATGTATCACCTTATGCTTCTTTATATTGAACTTCATCTCCCACCAATCCTATGACTCTTCCAACTTGTCAATGTTCTTTTGGAGACTTGCATTGTCCTCAATATACAGTGCTCCCAAATTTTAAACCATATGCAAACTTTGAAACTGTCTTCTGTGCACTAAGATCTAGATTTATTTTTTAATATGCAAAAGGCAAGGGTCTCAATACTGACCACTAGGGAACTCTATTACAATCCTTCCTCCTACCTGAAAAATATGCACATTAATCATTGCTTTGATTCCTATTTTTCAACCAATTTTATAATGCCTTTACAACTGTCCCTCTTTTAAATTCCATGAGCTGTAGCTTTTCTCACAGCTCTATCATGTGGCACTTGTATAGAGTCTTGCAAGTCTGTGTTGAGCACATTAACAGCATTGCCTTTATCAATCCTCTGTTACTACATTAAAAAAAAATCCAAGCACATTAGCTGGATATGGTTTACTTTTTAAATGCATTTTGGATCTTCTGAATTAACCTCTACTTTTCTACATGACGACTAATCCTATTCTGATTCTGGAAGTTTCCCCACCAGGGTTGGAACAGAAAGATATGTCTGGACTCCAGCTGGGACGGGATCTATCCCTATATTGTTAATACAATACTGATTCATACTGGCCATTTAGTCAACTCCATCCCAAGCCCAAGAGTCTGGCTGCTGTGGCTAGATACATTTCTTTACAGAGATAGTAGGAACTGCAGATGCTGGAGAATCTGAGATAACAAGGTGTAGAGCTGGATGAAGAAGGGTCTAGGCCCAAAACGTCAGCTTTCTTGCTCCCCTGATGCTGCTTGGCCTGCTGTGTTCATCCAGCCCTACGCCTTGATATCTCTATACTTCTTTACACACATGTTGTGACCTTGAAGCATTGAATGGTGATGGCAGAGGCTCCAGTTCTCTGTGTGGCTGACCAGGAATCTCCTGCTCTTAATGCCTACTTTTATTGTATATTGGAAGCGTTTACAGGTTAATACTGTCTTTTTGGCAAATGTTGTGAAAGTACATTTCTTGATCATCTAGCCTGGATTGAGATAGTTAACCTGGGCTCTAATACTGTGCTACAAGACCTCCAGTCTTTAGATTATGTGGGTATGAATAATAATTCTTCCAGTAGAGTATTTGATAAGCTTTGATCCCAGTTGATTAGACTGCTGTTCAAGTCAGACCCCAGAATGAAACTTGGCTTGATGGATTTTTCTTGTTCTGTTAATTAACATGCTCTTAGTCACTGGGACATAATCATGCAAGGCTGCAGATTTTCTTTGAAAGGAGTTATTAACTAGAAATAATAAGTAAAACCAAGATTTCTACATAGGTGTTTTAAGATGTGTTCTGTATCAAGTCAAAATCTCAACCTGTTTCCTGTCCCAATCCATCTGTAGAAAGTCAAATCCAGGGAACTTGCACCTGTATATCAAGTCTTTTGAGTTCAATTTACTGATTCACTCCGTTTGTTTCCTGTGAATTGCGATATTCCTTGCGTCATTACACACAAAAAAAGGTTAAATGTTCTCTGGTTTTAGTAATCTGCAGATTTCTAACCAAAGTTTATTTCTTTCTTTCTAGTTTGGAAACTTCATAAATTATCCTTCTGAGGTGACTGCATTTTACCTGAGCTCTCCTCTACTCCTGTAAAGAGAGAGCCAAATCTGCTTCTAACTCCAATTTCTCCCCTAAACACTTTCAATCTCTGTTTTCTAAACTAAAATTAATCCTTGATTACTCTGAACTGAAAACAAGCAAATGTCCTTTTGAAAACCACCACCATATAAACAATTTTCCATTGACACCGCAGGGGTTTCCACCCACATGCTTTCTGAGCAGTTCTGGATTAGGATCTGTTCCAGAAGGATACACTGACTTTCTTTAAACAAAAAGAAAAATAAACCTTTCAACTAAGTGACCAGCATCCAAGTGCCACCAATTTGAAATCCGAACTCCAAAAATGATATATATTAAACCCATTGTGTCACACTTGCCCTGAAAATGACAAAATAAAGATCCTTCCAAACTTAATAATATTTTTGTAATATTAATGTTTTAACAGGGTCCATCAAATTGAATCCAGTTGTTTCAAACCAAGTTCAGTTTCATTCTGTTTTAAATAGAATGTTCTATTTTTCAGAACAATATGATGCTTTTGTGAAATTCACACACGACCAGATTATGAGACGATATGGAGAACGACCTGCTAGTTGTAAGTATAGATTACTTGTAGGCTTCACAATTCTTAATGCATTCCATTTTTTTACAGGTGTAATGACCAGGAAAGGCATTGGACTTGTACCTAACCCCTCTTGCCACTTGGTTAAACTGTGAATACAAAACGCCTGCATTTCAGGTTTCCCTATTGTAACACTGGCTCTTGAATCCAGCTTTACTTTTGGTAATTGTTAGAGAGACTAAAGCAATTTAATACCTTTCTGTATTTATTCTAGAAGTATAAACTGCTACCAGTTCTTAGAAATAATTTGTACAGCATTGACACTTTTTAAATACTGCCAGTGATTTATGGAGCAGCAGGTTTTGAATTCAATCAAATATATGCATAGTTATGAAAATCCTGAGTGTGTTTCTGGTTGGGCACTGGTCATTCTAATATTGTGGTTTACTCTGAACTACAACTGAAATCTTAAATCTGTTCAACTTAGTCGTTGATTCGGAAACTTGTGAATTTCTTTTCTAACGTTTGTTCTTGGGCAAGTGGGTGTCACGTTGTCACTGCTGTCATTTATTGTCCAACCCTATTACACCTGAGTTGGTGCTAAATAATATTAGCAGTTGCACAATATGCCATCAGGATGATATTTGACTTGGGATCTAGGGGTTGATGAAGATTACTTATTATATATTGTCTCTGCTCATGTAGGTGGGAAAGGCATGATGGGAGCAGTCAAGGAAGCTTTGGCATGCTGTTGCAATCCATACTTTAGTTAATGCACTTTGTTGTTACAACCAGCTAGTAACGTGTTTAGATTATGCAAGTCCTGGTCAAATTTCCTGGACAATATGGTTATATTTTGGCAGTTATGCATAACCAGGCAAGTGGGAAATACTTCATCAAGCTGTTAACTTTTTTTTTTGAGTTGAAGATCTTGGAATCAGATGAGCCAGTCACTGCAGAGTTTTCAGCTTATGTCCTGCTCCAGTTGTCATAGGATTTTAAAGGCTGCTGCTTTAAGCTTGTGGTGAATAGTGGCCCTTTTGAGTTCTGATAAGTGCTATTCATCAAACATTACAGGGAGCTAGTCAGTATTTTCTTGATAGAGATGTTCATTGCCTAGCAATGTGAATGTTATTCAAGAAAGCATTTGAACAGAGAAATCTGGAGCTGATGTGCAGAAATGAGCATTTCAGAAGCAGATAAGCAATTTGGAGAAAGTAGATGATCTTTAGAACATTTTGACGTTCAGTATTCTAGCTTTACTTTTTAAATGAAGTCAATGTAAGAATCAAATGATAGCTTCTGCCAGGTTATGTGAAATGAATTGAGTTGTGTAGATTAGGAAAACTGAGTCTGTGCATAATAATAAATTAATTCTTACTGTGTGTGACAACCTGATTATTGCAATTGATTTATTGAATCAGTTTTACGGTATGGAAACAGACCCTTCAGTCCAACTCATCCATGCCTACCAGATATCCTAAATTTAATCTAGTCCAATTTGGCCCATATCCCCCGAAACCCTTCCTGTTCGTATACCCATCCAGCTGCCTTTTTAAATATTGTAATTGTACCAGCTGCGACCACTTCCTCAGGCAGCTCGTCTGTACACACACCATCCTCTGCTTGAAAACGTTGCCCCTTAGGTCCCTTCTAAATCTTTTCTCCTCTTACCTTAAACCTATGCCCTCTAGTTTTGGACCCCGCCCCAGGATAAAGATCTTGGCCATTCAGCCTATCCATGTCCGTCATGATTTTATAAACCTCTGTAAGGTCACCCTTCCGCTTCTGACACTACAGGGAAAATAGCGCTAGCCTATTCACCATCTCCTTATAGCTCAAACCCTTCAATCCTGGCAGCATCCTTGTAAATCCTCTCTGAGACCTTTCACGTTTCACAACATCCTTCCTATAGCAGGGATACCAGATTTGTACACAGTACTCCAGTGGTGGCGTAACCAATATCCAGTACAGCCACAACGTGACCTGCCAACTCCTATGCTCAATGCACTGACCAATAAAGGCAAGCCTACCAAGTGCCTTCTTCACTATCCTATCTAGCTGTGACTTCACTTTCAAGGAACTATGAACTTGCACTCCGAGGTCTCTTTGTTCAGCAACACTCCCCAGAACCTTACCATTAAATGTATAAGTTCTGCCCTGATTTGCCTTTACAAAGTGCAGCACACCTCACATTTATCTAAATTAAACTCCAACTACTTCTCGACCCATTGGATCAAGATCTCGTTTGCACTCTGAGGTAATCTCCTTTGCTGTCCACTAACCCTAACCCTATTGCAATTTTGGTGTCATCTACAAACTTACTAACAGTACCTCCTGTGTTCACATCCAAATCATTTATATAACTGGCGAAAAGCGGTGGACCCAGCACCGATCCTTGTGGAATATTGCTGGTCACAGGCCTTCAGTCTGAAAGGCAGCGCTTCTCCACCACCCTCATTACCTTCTACCTTTTTGAGCCACTTCTGTATCCAAATGGCTAGTTCTCCATGTATTCTGTGATCTAACCTTGTTAACCAGTCCACCATGAGGAACCTTGTTGAACGCCTTACTGAAGTCCATATAGATCGTACCCACTGCTTTACCCTCATCAATCCTCTTCATTCTTTCTTCAAAAAACTCAAATAAGTTAGTAAGACACTTTTTCACGCACACAAAGCGATGTTGACTATCCCTAATCAGTCCTTGCCTTTCCAAATACATGTAAATCTTGTCCCTCAGGATTCCCTCCGACAACTTGCCCACCACCAGTATCAAGCTAACCGGTGTATAGCTCCCTGGCTTTTCCTTGCCACCTTTCTTTAAATAGCGGCACAAAGTTAGCCAACCTCCAGTCTTCAGGCACCTCGCTTGTGGTTATTGATGATACAAATATCTTAGTAAGGGACGAAGCAATCACTTCCTTAGCTTCCCACAGAGTTCTAGTATACACCAGATCAGGCCCCAGGGGTTTATCCACCTTTCTGCATTTTAAAATGTCTAACACTACCACCTCTGAAATATGCACATTTTTCAAGATGTCGCTGTTTATTTCCCCACTTTCTATATCTTCCATATCCTCCTTCACAGTATACACTGATGCAAAGTGCTCATTTAGTATCGTCCCCCACCTCCTGCGGTTCCACACACAGGCAGCCTTGCTGATCTTTAAGGGGTCCGATTCTCTCCCTAGTTACACTTTCTGTCCTTTAATGTATTTGTAATATCTCTTTGGATGTTCCTTCACCCTATTTCCCAAAGCTAACTCCTGCCCCCTTTTGTCCTCCTGATCTCCTTTTTTATGTATACTCCTACAGCTTTTGTACTCCTTTTCTAGTGATTCACTCGATCTCTGCTGTCTATACTTGACATATGCTTCCTTCATATTCTTGACAAAAACCTCAATTTCTCCAGTCATCTGGCATTTCCTACACCTACCAGCCTTGCCTTTTACCCGAACAGGACCATACTGCCTCTGGATACTTGTTATCTCATTTTTGAAGGCTTCCCATTTTCCAGCCATCCCTTTACCTGTGAACATCCACCCCCCCGTCAACTTTTGAAAGTTCTTGCCTAATACTGTCAAAATTAGCCTTCCTCCAATTTAGAACTTTAACTTTTTGGGTCCAGACTATCCTTTTCAATTACTATTTTAACACTAATAGAACTATGGTCACTGGCCCTGAAGTGCTCCCCACTGACACCTCAGTCACCTGCCCTGCCTTATTTCCCAAGAGTAGGTCCAGTTTTGCACCTTCTCTAGTAGATACATCCACATACTGAATCAGAAAATTTTCTTGTACACTTAACAAATTCTAGTCCATCCAAGCCCTTAATACTACGGCAGTCCTAGTCTATGTTTGGAAAGTTAAAATCCCCTACCATAACAACCCTAGTATTCTTACAGATAACTGAAATCTCCTGCTTACAAATTTGTTTCTCAGTTTCTTGCTGATGATTGATTGAGGGGTCTATAGTACAGTCCCACTAAGATGTTCATCCCTTTATTTCTTAGTTCCACCCAAATAACTTCCCTGGATGTACTCACAAGAATATCCTCCCCAAGTACAGCCGCAGTGTTATCCCTAATCAAAAATGCCACTTGCCCCACTTCTCTTGCTCCCCTTTCTACCCTTCCTGTAGCATCTATACCCTGGAATATTAGGCTGCCAGTCCTGTCCATCCCTGAGTCACGTTTCTGTAATTGCTATGATATCCCAGTTCCATGTTCCCAACCATTCATCTACCTTAAAGTAAATGCAGATTGATTTATCAGTCCTGCTTTGTCCCTGCCTGCCCTCACTGTTTGACTTGCCCCTTTCCCAACTGTACCAGTCTCAGATTGATCTCTTTCCTCACTGTCTCCCTGCATGCCCCACCCCGCTTCACTCTGTGTAATTCCTTCCTTTTTGAGCAACTCCAGCAAATCTCCTCTCCAGTATAGTAGTCACCTTCCAATTTAGGTGCAATCCTTCCTCCTTATGCAAGTCACTTCCACACCAGAGGAGGTTTCCAGGATCCAAAAAAGTAAATCCTTCTCCCTTGCACCAGATCCTCAGCCATGCATTCGCCTGCTGTATCTTCCTATTCCTACCCTCACTAGCTCGTGCCTCCAGGACGTGATTCTTAAAATGGAATTAGTGTTTGGCCAACACTCTGTCTGTTGTTGAATAAAGTACTGTGGGGATCCTGTGCAGTGAGTTAACTAGGCTCATCTTGTTTTGAAAAACCTGGTGGCATTCTGTCCACAACTTGAATGTGAAGAATAACTGTAATGAGACACTAGAGGGCAGCTAGCCTATTGTACATTACTGATATCAATAGAAGTGGAGGTGGCAGTAATATTCAGTTTCAGTTCTCTGTGAAATAACATACATTTATGAATGGATTTGATATAATTTGGTTTTAATCATTTTTTAATGTTGTAAAGGTTGAAAGTTCTAAATCACTTTTTTTTTAAATAAAATTCTGGTTGATTTCTGTAATGATCCTGTTCTCTTGCAACTGTATGAACTGTTGTAATCTTGCCTATTGAAGTTTATCTCTGCATAATTTTAGATAATGCACTTCCCTAAATGTAATAGTGTTTTGAATGATTACTGTTGGTCTCTATTAATGTGTGAATAGTGAATTGCAGGAGTTTGTAAACTGGCCAGTCATCCAGTTTTAATTTTTTAATGGGTCAGTGAAATGCAGTGCTTCTTTTCTTTCTATCACTATACACTGTCTTACAGTACTTTTTTTTTCCCCCTACAGATGTGTCCTGAAGCATTTTGTGATTGAACGGGTGTTGGCTTTCACCTCAAGTCAGCTGCTGTACTTACGAGAACTAACTTTGGTGCCATGTTTTACCCACCTTCTACTTGAGGGATTTTAACTCTTCACTGCTGGCCCACCCTACCTCTTGTAAAATGAAACAAAAAGACAAAAAAAATCTGACTTTACCAGTCATTGTGCTATCAGTACAGAGATTTGTCTACTTTCCACTGCTAACTCTGCTACTGTGAGAATAATCTGCCATTTTATTTCCAGTTCAAGAAGCTGAATACCAAGCAACAGTTAATCTGCTTTTAAGAAGTGGCACTGAATATGGGATTGTTACCGTGCAAACCTTTTGAAAGGATTAAAGTCTGTCACAAGTGATTAAAGTAGAAATTTCAGTTTCTCTGTATTGATCTGAAAAATGCAGTGCACTACAGTAATATTGCAGAAATCTCCCTTTTTCTTGTGTAGAATTTTTAATGTGGAGCATCATTACCTGTCAGCTACAAACATCTGTAACACTGTTACTTCGCAGTAAGTGGGATGTGCATATCCAATCTAGTCACTCAATTCAAAGTTTGAACTGGAGACCTTCAAATTGCACACTCAACCTGGTCTGAAGCAAAAACTGACTGAGCCAGAAATGTAAACATCCATGGCTCACTGGCCGGACACGTGAAATGTATACTTGTGAAAGTCACTATAACAATGCTAAAACCTTTTTTAGTCTCAATTAGGCATCTTAAAGAGGAATGGATAATAATGTCAGGGATCTGTTTTATTTCAAACTTTCTTCTGGATGTAGAAAAGCCAGTAATCATTTGTGAATGGTACAAAGGTTTAAACTGGGTTAAATGGCCTTTTCTTAAATAGTCCTGTTCTTGGTTTAAACTCAGTTTTGTAGAGTTTGTCTGTATGAACAATAGTATTTTTACCTGTTGCACCAGGAATTTTAGATTGGCTTTCAATCTTATTTCATAACTTTGGCAATTAGATAGGTCTAAGATTACTTGAGCTGACTCTTTAAAGAGTTGCTTAGATTTAATTTTTAATTTTAGAATACTTCTAAATCTCACTAATTGACAGCATTGACCTTTTGCTCAGCCAATATAACACCGTACAATTCTGTTTTTAAGTGTTTCTAATCACAAATTGGATTATATCATGGGCTGAGACTCAGAAACTGGTCTGTTTGGGGAAACAAATTGGCTCATGTAGGACTCTTAATTTGCATATCTAATCAAATGAACTCAAATCTAGATGTTTTTGCCATTGTCTGATGGCTACAGTATCAACTTTTTAGATCTTCCCTGTCCAATTAACAGGCTACAAATATATAAGGACAAGCAGAGGCATTTTTACCGACATTGTTATCACAATTCTATTTTCCCAATCTGCAGGAATAACAGGGTTTGTTCGGCTGTTAGAATAAATTGCAATGAATGTTTGTTTGTTTTTAAAGCATACCTAATGAAAGAGTGCAACTTCACCTTTTGTCTTTGTATGTTTCTTACCCTCTGTAGTGTTAACAAGCTTATTTTTAAAGAAAAAAAATTGGAAAATACCTAAACTGGACATCTGTTTATATCCAGTTTTGGTTTGAACACTTAAGGATTCTACATTCCCAATTTATTCTGGTTGAAAATTGATTTGTAACCTACATCAGTCTTGCATTTGCTTGTTTGCCAGAGTTTTGTTGCCTAGTTATGACTTCAGATGACTTGTGTTTAATAAATCTAGAGTGGCCTTATAAACATACATAAATTATGTTTTGGGATTATAGCATTGTCAGAACTAAGGATGCACACACATGCTTTTATAAAACATGGCTACTATGTAGAATATGGAAGTTGCAATAACAGTTATACACCCTCCTAGTCCTACCCCTTTTGTGGTATTCATTATTTAAGGAAGCAGTACAGTTAAATTCTTGGAAGTGAGTTCATAGTCTAGAGACAACGCTTTATCAGTTCTTTCCTCCAGTTATAGGCATTTTTAAATGCATGCAGTTGCACTAGTTGGTTACATTTCACAATGTAAATTTAATTTGGACAAAATTGCAGACTTTAATTGAAAATTGCAGATTTAATAGTCACATCTACACTGAAAACAATCATAACCTGGTGCAGCTGAAGGTAACTAATTGAATTTTGGCTCTGCTCATTGGGAACAAATGGCTCAAGGCCTCCTAAATTTGACAAAGTTAGACTGGACCATTAGCTTGGTGACCACAATTGAGCTGTTCAGTTTCATCTTGGAGGGCGTGATGATTGAGGAAAGTGCATTTTCAAGCGACATTGACTTACACAATTGTTTAAAAATGCTTGTTCTTTCAAAACCTTCCAGCATTTTGATCTTTCCAACTCTCCTTTTAAAGCTCATACGTCTTTTAAAATATCCCATTACATTAAACAGGACTGATTCTGAAGTCACCTATTTTTTTAATTGGAGTAAAGTGGTTTTTGTTTTCATGACTCCTTCATTTAAAGCTAGGGCTTGAAATCAACCTGATTAAAGTAAGCTCTCCACTCTATATGTACTTTATCAACTTTTCGTGGAAGGTAAAAGAAAAAGTCCTCTGCCTGAACTACTTGGTCAAAGATGAGAGAAATCTTTCCTCTCGACTGTCCCATTTCTTCACACTGCACAAAAGAACTTGCCATAGAAAAAGCAAAATTGGAAAATAATTAATTTATTGAATGGAGTGTGATGTACTAACTAATTGTTGTGAGCAAAGATTACCAAAACAAAATGTGATCTGTTTTCCAAAACTGGTATGTCAGCTAATCTTGGTGTGGGTGGAGAAGGTGGGCAAAAAGCAGAGGAAATGCATGAGTTGGCTAAGTTTTTTTTTGAACAAGTCTTGAGTGATAGTAAAGCATGTTTGTTTTTGTGTGTGTATTTTGGGAGGAAAGCTTTCCTACAATCTTGTTGATCCCGTTTTAAAAGTCTTTCCTGTCTGATTCTTTTGATTTTTGCCTTATCTTCCCTGAATATTATAAATTGAAATTGAGTTATAACATATCTAGCTGGTTTTTGCAGTATATAGCACTAGTTCATTCCTGTTACATTAGAATATCCAGAAAATTTGCTGAATATAAATGACAGAATATAGATCAGAATTAAGACTTGTGTGGATCTCAAATTTTTTTAGAAGGTTTAAAATTAGTCTGTGATTAGAACAGGTTAGTTTTGTCATGATGTCTGTTGCAACATGAATTGAAATCCCAGAAATCTAGGTTTTAAATGAGCAGAGGACATGACTTGTTCTAATCACACACACACTCGAGAGATTCTGCAATCATCCTTTTATGTGCTTATCTAACAATTACAGGACAGTTAGTGACAAGGCTATTGGCTCTCCGCAAAGCAAATGTTTTTGCCCATTGAGGTAATATTTGCTACTTGCTGAAGTGTTCTGTGTATTAGATGTATTGTTTGTGGATACTGCATCTCCTTTGTCTAGAAAATTATTTTACTTCAGTAAATGCCATTTGTTTTATTGAACTCATTAAACAAATACAAACATCAACTTGATTCCTAATTTTGTACATTTTGGAAGGCTTCAGTAAGTTGGTCTTTCATACTGTGCAACTTTTTCCTTTTTAAAGTTGTTTTTTCCTGACTGGTTTTGAAAATTGCTCAAAGTAAATTGGAACAAATGGTTAGACATTGCAAGTAGTCTAAGGTTTGTTGCAGTAAATCAAGATAAGCTTGCCAAAATTATTGGCCATTACAAAGGACTTGAAACAATAAACAAGCACTTATCTTGCAGATGAGTTCTAAGCAATTCACCTTTTCTCCTGAATTTAGTATAGTCCACAAGTGCACATTGATATATGTAGAGCAGTGATTCTGAAACAGCAATCTGAGAATGTTTGTTCATTTTAAAGGGGTCTGTCAGTAACTCCCTGCCTTCGCTGGAAACTGTTTTGAAAATCTCTTTAATGTCACTGTCCAAAATTTACAGAATCTTTGACTAGTTTTGCCTCCCAAGTCAACAACTGACATCTGTATAGTATGGCTCTTGCAGGTTGACTGAAATTTTCTCCTCATCCTTTCTTGCAGCCTCTTCCTGGTGGAATTGGACTTGGATCTATTCTTGCCTATAATTTGTCGTTAGTTAATCTTGGGTGACAGCAAGCATTCCTATTTCTGCTCCATTACCTTCATAGTTCTTGAAGATCCAAACTTGGTCACCTTTTGTTCTTTATCAGCACATTATCTGTGTATTGCATTATCCAAGGACATGATGTCAGTTTCTACATGTGCACTGATGATGTGCAGTTGCACCTTTTCACCTCCTTTAATCCTCCACTGTCTATTTGCTATCATGTTGTTTGTCTTCTACGAACTGTAACATTTTTTCCTCCAGATAAATGCTGTAAAGACTGTACAGCTTTCTGTCCCCTAACTCACTATAAATACCAAATCTTTGGGTTGAACAAGATTATTTGCTTGCTTGTTTGTGAAAATTCAAACCTGTATCATACATGTTGTGAAGATAATATATTTTTCTTTCTCTGGAATTACTCTTTCTGCTCCTTCTTTTAGCTTGTGTATATGAACAAGGGGAAAGGTTCCAAAGATGGATTCTCAGGGGATTGCACAAAGATGAGGAAGCACACCATGAACCGATAAAGTAAGTTAGAGGAATTACTTTTTGTGCCAACTAAGCTCTGCTATGGTCTAGAGGTGTTGAAAGTTGACTGTTGAATGTTTTTTTAAAAAAAAAAATTATCCCTGATCACTTTTTTGCAAATCAACATGCAACTGATGCATTGCATAATTCTCCCCTCCCTGCAGGCTTTCACAATCTGTACACCATTGCATTGTCAACTTTTATTCAAAATTTATGTTTGCTGCATTAATTACATTCCCCTGATAGCAATGAATGGATAACAAAATTGCATTGTTTTAAACCTTACTACTTTAATAAAACATTAGCTCCCTTTATATACCAAATTGCAAAGAAATGCATACTGTTTTTATATAAAAAGTGGCATTCAGATAAGGCTTGAGGTTTGCACTGGTAAAATCCAATAGTGCTCAATTTTCAGTTGTGGTTATAATTGTCAGGAGTTGATACGTTATTGTAGTTGAACACTCAAACCTTTAGTTTGCATATACAACACTCTTAAAATCAATCAATGATACACATTTGTCTGCAGAAGCAGAATAATCAAGTAGAATGATTTGTGAAAATTAATCGAGCTATTAGAAGAAGTAGAAATTACCCTTGCACTTCAAATAATAGCTTTGTCTTCTGATATCTACGTCAGACTCTATTTATTGACTTTAGCTGCACCTTCAACATCATAATTCAAAAAAATATTCATCTCCAAACTTTGAGACATAGGACTCTGCTCCCTCCTCTGCAACTGGATCCTTGACTTCCTGACCCGCAATCCATAATGATAGGTGACAACATCTCGCCCACAATAACCTTCAGCAATAATCTTCAACACTGGTGCCACGCAAGGCTGCATACTCGGCCCTTGCTATACTCCTTATATACGTGACTGTGTGGCCAAATTCAACTCCGTTTACAAATTTGCCATAGTAGGTCTGATCTCAAGCAATGACGAGACACAGTACAGGGAAGAGATGGCTTAGTGGCATGGTGTAAAGACAATGATGTCTCCCTCTATATCAGCAAAATGAAAGAGCTTGTCATCTACTTTGGGAAGCGGAGTGGAGGACAGGCCATGTCTGTATCTATGGTGCTGAAGTCGAGGCGGTCAACAGCTTCAAGTTTCTAGGAGTAAATATCACCAACAATCTATCCTGGTCCATCCACATTGACCTTACCATCCAGACAGCACACCGATGCCTCTATTTCCTTTAGAAGGCTAAGGAAATTTGGCGTTTCCACAATGACTTATCAATTTTTATGGATAAACCATAGAAAGTATCCAATCCTGATGCACCACAGCTTAGTATGGCAACTGCTGTGCCCAAGACTGCAAGAAATTGCAGAGATTTGTGAAAAGCAGCCCATTTCATCACAAAAACCAGCCTTCCATCGACTCTGTCTACACTTCTTGCTGCCTCAGGAAGGCAGCCAACATAAATCAAAGACCTTTCCCAGCCCGCTTATACTCTCTCCGACCCTCTTCCATCGGGCAGAAGTTACAAAAGTTTGAGAAATATACCAGCAGATTTAAAAGTAGCTTCTTCCACATTGTTACCAGACTTACGAAGGAGTTTCTCATATTACAGTTGATCTTTCTCTGCAACTTTTCTGTAACTTGAATGCTATATTCTGAATTCTGCTCTATTACCCTGAAATACTTATGTAAGGTATGATTTGACTGGTTAGCATGCAGTACAACACTTTCCACTGTCTCAGTACAAATGACAACAAATCAAATCAAATCAAATCACCTCAACCTGATCTGCAATAGTACTCTCTTGACTCACCTTCCATACTCCATTCTCCATAATCTTGAGATCATTTGAAATTCTATTCATTGTATCCCCTTCAATCCTGATAACATCATCCAGTTCTCATTTACCTACATTGGCAAGACTAAGAACCAAAATTTCGAAAGGGGAAATAAGTGTATCTAACTCCAAAACCTTTCACTCAAATCATTGTGTTACAATTGACTGTCTCCCTCTGATTCATTTTTAAACGTCCCCGCCTTTCTTCCTACATTTGTTGCCAAACTGCAGTCGCTTAGTTCCCTCTCCAAATCAAACAACACAAATCCAACTACCAACAACTGCCCCATCAGCGTACTCTTGAGCGACAGTAAAGTGATGTAAGATGTCATTAGCAGTGTTATCAAGTAGCACCTGCTCAGCAATAATTTGCTCAGAGGCCAAGTTTGGTTTCTGCCAGGGCCTCTCAGCTCCTGACCTCATTATAGCCTTGGTTCAAATATGGACAAAAGAGCTAAATTTGAGGTGTGATAAGCCCTTGACGTCAAAACTGCATTTCGGTGTGGGGCATCAAAGAGCCATAGCAAAACTGGAACCATTGGGAATTGGAGCAAACTCTCTGGAGTCTTAACAGGCATTCAGAAAGATTAGTTGTAGTTGATCAAGTTCATTCTTTTGAGCTCCAGGATATCTCTGCATGTGGACGTCTGGGTAGTGTCCTACATTTTCAGCTGTGTCATCAATGACCTTCCCTCCAGCATTAGGTCAGAAGTGGGAATGTTTGCTGATTGCACAATGTTCAGTGCCATTTACTTCAAACTGAAGCAGTCCATGTTCAAATGCGACAAGATCTGGACAAAATCCAGGCTTGAGCTGACAACTGGCAAGTAACATTTGCGTCCTACAAATGCAGGCAATATTGTAAAAGGCAGTCTAAACACAGCTGCTTGATGTTCAGTGTGTTATCATCACTGAATCTCCCCTCAATATTCTAGGGTGTTTCCGTTGACCAGAAACTCAGTTAGATTCTTTGTTAGTACAGTGGCTACAAGAGCAGGTCAGAGTAGGAACTCCTGAATCTAAAGTCGGGAGTGTGATGGATTGCTTCCACTTGCAGCCGAAACAATATTCCAGAAGCTTGACACCATCCAGGACAAAATAGCCTGCTTGATTGGCATCACATCCACTCCAACCATCATCAGTGCTCAGTTGCAGCAGTATATATCTTCTGCAGTGCATCTGCAGATAATATACACGGAAGATCTAAATGCATGCACACTTCCAGCTCGAATCACGAGGCAAGCAGATACATGGGAACATTCACCGCCTGCAAGTTCACCTCCAAGACACTCCCCCTCCTGACTTGGAAATATATTGCTGTTCTTTCACTGTTGTTGGGTCAAAATCCTGGTATCCCCTATCTTTTACAGCTTTGTGAATCTCCTTACAGTAGCACATGGATTTCAGTGGTTCAAGAAGGCAGCTCACCGCCACCACCACCACCTCGAGAGCAACTAGAGACTAGCAATAAATGCTGGCCCAGCTTGTGGAATGCTCACATTCTATGGATGAATTAAACTCTTCAATTACAGATTCTAAATTCTTTTATTTGCTCCCTCATTTAAACACTGTTTTTAATCCCACTGCTTTGACCAAACTTTGTGATCTACTATATTCTCCACCTTCTTGGAATGCTGTCTTTATTTTTCTAACCCCTTTGAAGCAAATTGAACCTGTAACCAAACAATTTAACCAAAAATTGCTAAGTAAACGCAAGTGGTTATGTGCTTGCTATTTTTTTTGAAATGAGCTCCACCACCTGTCAGCAGAAGCAGCATCCTGTTATTTACATTCATAATTTTAAACACAAATCTTGTTTCAGCCTTTGATCTAAATATAGCAATTGCTTCTCTGGTCTGTCTAGACTGTTGAAATCACTCATCCCTGACATAATTCTGGTCAATCTCCATTGCACCTTGTCAAGACCTAGACATCCTCTGTTAATTTGTCACAATCCAGCAAATGGCAATTTTGTTTTTTGTTTTTTTTGCTTAGTATCTTTTTCTGTACAATACCAGTTACTAATAAAGCTGGGAGTCCCCACATGCATTTTTATTAACTTGTTCTGTTTTGAACTCCTTTCAT